TCCTGCTCTCTGTCCCGCTCTCTGTGCTACTCTGTCCCCCACCTATGCTCTTGCTCTGTCTCTCGATGGCGACTGGCCGTAGCGGTCAGCCATTTACCCTGTTCCTCCTCTTAGTCTCCCCATTCTGCCGGGCCTTATAATAAACTTATAGTCAATATGTCTGTCTCAGCAATTTCTCTTTTCTTCTTTTTAAACAAAACAATAACAGACAAGACATGTGATCTTTTATCTATCTCACTTCTGTTACCCTTAAAATATAGAATTTTAATATTATTAAAATATATAAAAATTAAAATATATAAAAAAGGATGTGGGCTTCAAGATGACTCAGCTGGTAAAGGGGCCTGCCACCAAGCCTGAGGACCTGAGTTTAGTTCCTTGAGTCCATATGGGAGGAGAGAATAGACATCTGAAGTTGCCCTCCAAATCCCACACATGATACACACATGCACAAACATGATAAATAAATGGAAAAGCTTTCTAAAAGGATACATACACATTATACTACCATGCTTGAAGGTCAAGAGTTTAAAATCAAATAGATTAAAATTCTCAGGTATGGGACCAGAGAGATGGCTCAGTGGTTGAGAGCACTGACTGCTCTTCCAGAAGACCCGGGTTCAATTCCCAGCACCCATGTGGCAGCTCACAACTGTCTGTAGCTACAAGTCATGACACCCTTACACAGACTTACATGTCCAAAAAACACCAATCCAAATAAAATAAAAATAAATTATTTTTTAAAAATTCTCAGGTTTGGAGCTGGAAAGATGTCTTAGTGGCTGCTCTTCCAGAGGACCTGGGTTTAATTCTTAGCACCCACATGGTAGCTCACAACTGTCTGTAACTCCAGCTCCAGGGTATCCAATATACCTTCTTCTGGCTTTGGGCACCAGGCATGCTCATGATAACACAGACACATGTGCAGGCATGTTTTTAAAAAAAATAACCCCACATTTAAAAAGAAAGAAAGAAAGAAAGAACTCCTTTCAGAGATTTGCTTTCCTCGTTCTGAAGTCTGCTACTGCACTTCCATGTTTTGTGGGTCCCAATGTGAGATTGTGTATGTGTAGAGGCATGTATGTGCTGTGTGTGGAGAACAAAAAACAACTGCAGATATCATTCCCCAAGCACCTGTTTGTCTCTTCTTGAGACAGGTGCCTCACTATGTAGCTTCTTTTTCTGGCCTGGAGCTTGCTATGTAGAGTGGCCTCAAACTCACAGAGATCCACTTTCCTCTGCCTCCCAAATGCACCACCATGTCCGACTCCATTTTGTTTTTTTGTTTTGTTTTGTTTTGTTTTGTTTTTGAGACAGGATCTTGCCCTAGCCTGAAGCTCACCAATTAGGCTAGACTGGCCAGCCAAGGAGACCCCAGGAGTCTGTCTGTCCCCACCTCCCTAGCACCGAGATTACAAATGTGCACCACCACACCCAACTTGTTTGTTTTTAACATGGGGCGGCAGACTCAGATTCTAAGATCTTGGTTTGGAGTACTTGTGTTTTGGGGGTCTTTGTTATTTAGTATGAGGTTGTTGCTTTGTTTTAATGGAGCTATGTATCTGAGGAGGTTGGTGTTAATTGTCAACTTGAGAGAATCCAGATCCACCAGGAGAACCAGCCTCTGGACTTGCCTGGGAGAGCACAATTATCTTGATTGTGCTAACTGAAGTGGGAAGACCTGCCCACATCATTCCCTCAGTAGGGATGCTACACTGAATAAACTGGAGAAAAGGAGCTAAGTGGGAACCTTGGTGTGGCCTTGATTCTTGACTGTGGATGCAACAAGACCAGTTACCTTAAGCTCCTGCCACTGATGGACTATACCCTGGAACCAGCAGCCAAATAACCACTTTCTCCCTTAAGTTGCTTTGTTCAGAGTACCTGATCACATCAGTAAAAAGAAACTTGAAACCATCGTAGAAAAAGATTTTTTCCTTGATATTATTTCCAACATATCTTCATTTCCCACAAAATAGTCAGGTAATCAGTCCCTAAAAATTAATGTACTCAAATCTCAAAAACAAAGTCAGAAATACATTTTCCCCAGACATCTTAACAAAGACACCAATGTTGTCAAAACCCTGAGTTTTGAAGCTGAGCTTTTATTCTCTCTCTCTGGCCTCATTATCACAACAGATCTGTTTTCACATTCGTTCATAAGAAGATTGCATGTTCCACACTGTCTCCCCATTATATGCTGAATATATTTTAAAATCAAACTAGGACTTCCCTCTGAAATATTCCAAGATGTATTACCATAGTTTCATATTGATGCTTCAGCACGTCCAAATCATTATCTCACCAAGTGTTATCAAAAAGAGTTCATAGGGGAGTTGGCTGGGTCAATAAAGTGCTTGCTGTGCAAGCATGAGGACATTAGTTTGAATCCCCAACACCCACATAAAAAGCTAAGTGTAGCTCCAAGTGCCTGTAACCCCAGTACAGTAGAAAGCTGTGATGGGAATTTCAAGGATTTGCTGGCTGCCAGTCTAGCTTCAGGTTCAGTGAGAAACCCTGTCTCAAAGGTATCGAAAAGTGGTGAAAGAGAGAGCAGGACACCAGACATCCCCTTGACCTCTGCCGCAACATAGGCATGCACCTACACACACACACACACACACACACACACACACACACACACACACACACACACACAGAAAAGCACTCTAGTTTAAATGGAGCAAAATATGATTTATCTTCTATGTTTTAGGATGTAACTAAATCAGAAGCAGTTAGAAGCAACTCACTAATGAAATGAAAGGCTTATAGAACGTAACAGTCATGGCAAACAATACAGAAACATCCACATGTGATTGGCAAGAAGATAAAGGAGACTGGAGAGATGGCCACTGGTTAAGAACACTTGCTGCTGCTGCTCTTGCAGAAGAGCTGAGTTCCTGAATTCAGTATCCATGTCCCACAACTGCAGCTGCAAAGGATTTAAGTTAAATAGTTCTGTGATAAAGGAGTGCTATGGCTTTCAAAAGAAGAGGAAGCTGGGCGGTGGTGGTGCAGCCTTTAATCCCAGCACTCTGAAGGCAGAGGCAGGTGGATCTTTGTGAGTTCGAGACCAGCCTGGTCTACAAGAGCGAGTTCCAGGACAGCCTCCAAAGCCACAGAGAAGCCCCGTCTCGAAAAACAAAACAAAAAACAAAAACAAACAAAGAAGAAAAAACAAGAAAAAGAAAAAGAAGAAGAAACTATTCCAAAAACCTGTGCCCTAGCCTCATCGAAGAAAATGGATTGTTTCTAGAATAATCGACCTGACAAATGAAGTCAAATTTTCTTCCTATTTTTTCCTACTACATGGCTTAAGCACATCACATGTAACACTGTTATTCCAAAGGAAAAACTCACTCACAGCCTCATGCTCAGGCCCTCATTCAAACACTCAGAGGACCATGCCCCACCCTAACAGGTTTATGGGGCACACGGCCATGCCTGAGGAGCTATTATTCTATCTGTAAATGACCCCCCTTCATCCCATTCCTCTTTCTTCACATATGTAAATTACCATGTCTGATCTCCAGTCCCCCTACCAGCCACAACAACCAAATTGCCCTCAAGGGACATCCATTGCCTTGTTATTTTGGTCTCAGTATTAAAAAGGGGGAGGCAGAGAGAGAGAGAGAAGCTATTATATTCTCAAAAGTCAGAGTTCTTCCTGATTAGATTTCTGGCTTACTGATAAATGTTTATTCCCTGAAATATATTATTTCTGTATTTGGACTATTTGGCTTTTTTGAGCCAGGCTATTGTACATTGTTTACAATATAAATTGTCTCTAATAATATATGCTGAATTCTGAAAGGAGCATTTGGTCAAATTCTAATTCCTGTCCCCTTGGGATCCAGCCCCAACTTCCAGCAGAACCATCAACGGCAGCAGAAGAGAATTTTAAACAACTTGCACACAGCCATGTCACCTAATGACCGTGGTCCTTTTTCCTCCTCCCTGAAGCACCTTGTAGGATGCTTTAGCACATAGAGCACAGATCTTTCTTTTCATCACAAAATTTATGAAAACACATTCCCTTTTTCCCCACCATAAAAAAAGGAGAATTAAAAAAATAAAAGAACAATTCCTATCAAGGTTGAGCCATAGCTTGCTGCTTAGGCTTTCGAATCATTGCACAATTAAAAAGAATAAATAGCACATGCCTGTTTCATAAGCTGCGAGTGTCCAATGGAGAAAACCCACCATAGAAATTCCAAATCCCCAAACAAGATCATCTACAGACAGAAGTTGTTCCATTTTCATAGCACCTCAAAATTGTAAGAAATTATTTTATTTTAGTGCACTAAACCATAAGAGAATTCCTTTCATTAAAATTGTACATATGAGTTTATTCCTGACCTTGCTCAAGACACAATCAAGAGGAAAAGGAGAGAGCTTGCTGCAATATTGCACTCATCTAGTTGCATTAGGCTCAAAATCCAAATCTCCGGGATGTGTATTTGTCATGTCAGCCTGAGCTGAAGGCATCTGCCAAGAGACTATTTTCACTATTCGGTTGATGCCAGCCAGAATCCACTTCCACAAACCTGAATACTGATGAGACTGAAGCTCTCGGTTATTTCTCTCCATTTCTTTTTCATACCTCTTCCCTCTGCAGAGAAGTGAAGCCATTTTACTAATTCATGAGTACCCTGACTATCCAACCATATAAAATTTTTTTACTCATCAATAACAGTCAACTAAAAGCAAAGCATATCCCACAGGGGTTAGAGGGAAAGTCAGGCAACTGGGCGAGTATTGATTGGCAAGATTCCCTGATACTCACTGAAGGCGGCCACTGCCAGGGCCAGGGTGACAATAATGGAGAACCAGGATACCCACAATGCCTTCTTCCTGTAGTTCTGGGCTTCATGAGGTTTCAGCCGGGTGCTGCTTTCTAGTAAACCTGGTAGAAACAGGGAGGAAAGGGAATGAGGCATTTTCATACACCAGAACACACAGCCAAAGCTACAGCAGCCCATCCACAGACTGCAAACCCACAGCCTGTGGGCCAAGATGTGTTTTGTCTGGCCCACACTTCATTTCTACAAGTAGGAGATTGCACATTAAAAACAAAACAAAACAAATTACCAAGTGTTCTGGCATCCCTTATGAAACCACAGGCCCCAGCAGTATCGGGTAAGTGTTTCCACAGGGCGACAGAAGTTCTCCGAGTTAGAAGAGCTCCACATACTTCACCACTTCCTGAGGTCACCCCATGCCATTCTTCATCCTCTGCACTAAGTCACTTGGCTCAATAGAATTTCCTCATCCCAACAAAGCCCTTCCATTAGGAAAGGACTGTAGTAACTAATTAGGTGTTTGGGCTCCTCAGATGTGAGCATTGATCCACTAGCACAGTCCCAATAGCAATGTCGGATATATGTGAACCAAGGAATCGCAGACTGTACAAATGCCCTCCCTGGACCCCTAGGCAGCCAGTAGCCGTGAGGCCCAGATTATGCAGCATTTTTTTCTCCTTCCTTTGTATTGAAGCACACATTAAGCAAATAACTGATTCACTAATCAATTAATTAAAAATTTTAAAACTCTCAGGCACCTAGGAGACAGTTCATTCAATAAACTGTTTGCCATACAAGCATGAGGTCCTGAGTTTGTTTCCCCAGAATCCCTGTCAAATAGATGGCATGGGAATACATGCATGTAATCCCAGCACTTCAGAAACAGGGACAAGCAGATCATTCACTCCTCAGCCAGTACATCCTACTTGGTGAGTTCCAGGCCAGTGAGAGACTCTGTCTTGTGGTACATAGCATTCCCAGGGAAGGACTTCTGAGATTAAACTACAGCCACATAGGTATGCACATAAATACCCATACTTTCAGAATATGAAAGGACAGTGAAATTGCTAAAGCCAGAGCTAGCTTCCTAGGAAGGCTTCACGCACAACAGGTTTTCTTTATCTCCTATGCTTTGCACAGAAGGAATCCTTGGCAAGAGCAGGAATCTGTGACAACCCACCAGTGATGCCCACATCAACATCTCCAGGTTGATTTGTACTTCTTTTGTATCCCTTGATAATTAAATTGTAGGGTCTGGAGAAGTGGTTAAGAGCACATACTGCTCTTACAGAGGACCAAAGTTTGACTCCCAACACCCATATCAAGCAGCTCACAACTGCCTATAACTCCAGTTCCAGGGGATCTGCCCTTCTGTCCTCCTCATATGCAGACATATACACATACCATAAATAATAACAGTATCTTTAAAAAGAATAAAATTGTGACTAGGCAGTGGTGACACATGTCTTTAATCCCAGCACTTGGGAGGCAGATCTCTGAGTTCATTGAGGCCAGCCTGATCTACAGTTCCAGGACAGCCAGGGCTACACAGAGAAACCCTGCCTCAGACAAACCAAAAAGAGGAGGAGGATAAGGAGGAGGAGGGAGAAGAAGAAGAAGAAGAAGAAGAAGAAGAAGAAGAAGAAGAAGAAGAAGAAGAAGAGTATGTGCTCTTTTTTAGTTACCAGAGAACCAAAATATCAGCCTTGTATCTTATACAAATAAAAGCCAATTGTGCCAGCTCTGGCTTCACAGTGTATCTTTCAGAGATTTGACAGCCTCATCACACTAGCTGTAAACAATGATGACTAGGGAGGTAAAGCTTAGGCACCATTTGTAAAATGTCACAGTGTGAGACTGTGCACCACACATGATCACCATCCATTTATCGGACTGACCACCACTATAGGAGCAGAAAGGACAGGAGACTATTCTATCTCTATAATTAGGGTCATGACTGATACACCTACAAGACAGATTAACAGGAGAAAAAATGTAAAGGCTGGTAACAAATGTATTAAAATGAAGATCTATGTAATGGGTTAGACATGTAGCTCAGTCAGTAGAGTACTTGCCTAGCATGTTTGAAGCCCTGGGTTCCATTCATAGCATTGTATAACTAGACATCGTGATGAATGACCCCACACTTGGGTGGAAGTCATCTTCAAATACATAGGGAGTTTGAGTACAGCTGAGACTCTGTCTCAAAAATTAGTAAGACCAAAAGTTAGGGAGGGAAAGATGGAAGAAGAGGTGAGAAGGAAGGAGGGGAAGAGGGAGAGGAAAGAGAAGAAGGAAGAAGTGGGAAGGGGAGGGAGAGAGGAGGGATGAAGAGAGAGAGAGAGATGGATCCTGTGAGACATAGAAGGCTTCAGAAATAAAGCCCCAAAAGCCAAAGAGAGCTATTTTTATGCTCAGATTCAATGAAAAATGCATATCCCTGTGGAGATGAGATTAGATAAGAGATGAATGAAGCAGAGAAACTCAACAAGACCTGTCTTCTTCAAGTCTTGGTGTTCCCTGTATGACACCAACGTGGTAAGTGTTGGGACAGAGCCCCTTCCAGAATGAGGTCTTTTGATTGATTCACTATTAGACAAGGGCAGTCAGAGAGTTTCTCTGTGTCCAGCTCCTACACTTGTGGGGTGGTGTACAAGACAATAATTCTTGGGCTTATGGTTATCTTTGAGTGAAGGGGGTTGGAGTTTCCTATTTTTTTAATATTTAGGAGTTTTTAGTGTGTGTGTGTGTGTGTGTGTGTGTGTGTGTGTGTATGCTGGTGTGTGTGGATTCATATTCACATGTATATACTCGCATTTGGAGGTCAGAGGTTAACCTTAGGTGTTGTTCCTCAGATACCATCTGCCACATATTTTGTGACAGCGTCTCTCAGTCAGCTTGGAGCTCACCTATTAGGCTAGCTGGCCCATGAACCCCAGGAATGTCCCTGTCTCCACCTCTTCATTGTTGGGGTTACAAGCATGTGCCACCACACCCAGCATGTTTTAACATGAGTTCTGGAGGTACAACTCAGTTCCTTTTGCTTGCAAGGCAAGCACCTTAACAAGCAAACCATCTCCCCAGCCTGGAATTCTAGTTCCTATGGTGATCCTTGGGGTGCAAAGGGGACAGGAAGTCAAAGGACGAGAGTAGGCTTTGATTCTAAGGCCTTCTAGAAACATTCAGATCAGAGTTCCCAGCAGGTCAAAGTAGCATGCTTTGGGGAATCATTTTCTGAGCTCCACCACTGCCCAAAATTGTATCCTGTTAGCCCCAGAGCTCAGGAGGCAGAGGCAAGCCAATCTTTGTGAGTTCAAGACCAACCTGGTCTACATGATGTGTTCCAGGACAACCAGAGCTATATAATAGAGACACCATGCCCCAACACACACACACACACACACACACACACACACACACACACACACACACACACACACACACACACACACACACAATTATAGCAAAGGCCCAGTTGAACTACCTCAGTCCAGTCATCCTGAACAGACCTCAAAGCAAGCATGACTTTGGAGACAGGTGTTTTATGAGCAGGCAGTCCAGTAGACATCAGAGTAAGTAAAACTAGGTGGGGAAGGGCGCTAATACAGGACCAGAGGGTAAATGAGAAAGCAAGCATGAATTATCAGCCCCATCTTCACCATTGCACTGGGAAACTATCCTCAAACTTCCTTTGTTAATTCAGAAATGGGGCTGCAGTTGTAGCTCAGTAGGGACAGTGTTTGCCTACCACACACAAAGCCAGGTTCTAGTCCCAGCACCAAGATGGACATGGTGGTACACACCTGAGATCCCAGCCCTCTGGCCTGGAGGTAGATTAGGAGTTCAAGTTCATCCTCAGCTATACAGTGAGATAGAGGACAGCCTAGGCTACATGAGACTCTGTCTCCAAATAGTAAATAAATAAGTGCACTTGAATGGGAAGAAGAGAGATGTCTTGTTTTGAGAGATTCTGCTGTAGGTAGTGGTGCCTTCGAATGATAACTTGACATCACAGTTCTCTGTTTCTTCCTAGGCTCTAGGGGAAAAAAATCTCATTTTTACCTCTAACTGCAATCACTCTTGTGTCCAAGGAAAGCTGTAACCTAGAATAAACAGGCCCCATATACCTCTGAAAACTCCCTTCCCTTTTCCCAGATGAGTTAAAAAAAAAAAATCTATCCAGTCGGATGGTTCAGTGGGTAGGGTGCTTGCTGTGCAAGGCTGAGAACCTGGGTGCGGAGCCCAGGAGCCCACATAAAAGACAGACATAGAGGCATACCTGTAACCATAATACTGGGGAGGTGGAAGCAGGAGGGTCATGGGACTTGTTGGCTAGTCAGTCTAGCTGAAAAGGCAACTCCAAGTTCAGTGAGAGACCCTGTCTTGAAAAACAAGGTGGAGTCAGATTTCATCTCCCACAAATGTCAGAAAAGCTACATCCATGAAGTCTCATCAACATGGCTGCCTAAACAAGATCTCAGCAAGGATGACAAGAACAGGCATGCTAGCATGGGAGGGGGGAGTGATATGGGGTCTCAACCCTAGACAAAGAACCTCGGGCAACTAAGGAACACTGAGAACAGGAGAAATAGTCTCTCGAGGGAGTCCAAAAACAGGTTACCAATTAATCAGCCCCGAAATCATACTTTCAAGTAACACTATACAGACTGAGTAGTTGTGCTTATACATAGTAACAATGAAGGAAATAGATCATGAATGTAAGAGAGAACAAGGAGAGTTGTTCATGGGAAGGCTTAGGGGGAGGAAAGGGAAAGGGGAAAACTATGTAATTATATTCTAATTTGAAATTTCTTAAAAAAAATAAAGGACTCTAAAACTAGTGTTTAAAAAAAATGGGATGGAGTAAAATTTTTAAAGAATTTTATTTTTCAGTTTTCTGAAACTGGGTTTCTCTGTGTAACAGCTCTGGCTGTCCTGGAACTCACTCTGTAGACCAGGCTGGCCTTGAACTCACTGAGATCCCCTTTTTCTATGCCTTCTAAATGCTAGGATTAAAGGTGTGTGCTGCACCTACCACCACCAGCTCAGGTGTAAAAAGAAATTTTAAGGTGACATACTTTACAGAAAAACAAATATGGTGGAG